CGGAAGGTTCCAGCTGCTACTGCAATTCTTGCCACAAGATCATGTTGTGTCTCCACTGGAGACTCGTACACCAGGCTTTGCATGTACCCCCAGAGAAAGAAATCCAGTTGAGTCAAGTCAGGAGAGCGTTGGGGCCAGGATATTGGGCCTCCATGTCAAATCCATCTCTCTCCAAAAGTTCCATCCAAATACTCACAGACAACATTAGTGCAATGTGCCGGGGCACCATCTTGCTGGAACCACATTTCATGACGAACTTCCAAAGGCACCACTTCCAGCAGCTCGAGTAAGGTCTCTTGGAGAAATGTTAGGTAAGTGTCACCAATAGCCGCAGAGGTAAGAGGTAATGGCGTCCTTCTTCACATTTCAGAGGTCCTAGCGCGTAAACAAAGCGTTTGCGGACATGAGTGTATTAACAAAATATAATCAGATTGGACCCATTTATCTACCACAGAGCCTTGTAATATATATTTATTTACATCATGTATATAAGGTTACACCAGCCGGTTCTGTGAAAGTATTGTAACGTGTTTTGCCATTGAAGACCCCGTTAGGATTGTTAATTCAAATCAATTAATCCACTCTTGGCAATCAATCTAAGATCTCATAATTGCGAGTAGATGCCTTATACCAGAGTATTCAACTTTTTGTGTGAAATTTCTAGAAAGATCAATATTACCTGGCTTTATCTCCTTGACGTGAACTGTACGTAATTTTGTTTTCGAATATTCCTATGTAGTAAAAAGGCAAGCTTATTTACATGTTCTAAACTGCACACCTCTGATTGGCCCCTGCTGTATCATAGACAATCATAGCTGCTATAAAATTTTATGACATCTGCGTGGAAGTTAAATCAACTGCATTGAAACTAACCAGCAGATCACAACTGTTCTCCAAAAGACTGCCACAACAGAGGGAGTGAACTTGTTAGTATATATTCAGATATATTTCTTACACTCGAGAGATCATATTTTGGGAGCAGAAATCCAAGACAACTTCTCTGCTCTCACAATGTGTAAAAATAAGTTTAAACTCCTTATATTTGAGAAGTTACGTCCAGAAATTCCAATAGAACCGAATATTGAATGAAGACTTGAAATAGGCCAGCGATCCAAACCTCTAACATCAATTATTATGAGAACACATCGCACAATTAAACAACCGCGCATAATTTATTCTGAGACAAAGGAAAAAAGTCTTGTGGGTAGTTAGGATGACGGCGCCCTATCTCCCTATTATTGTATTCCCCTTTAGCCCCCTCTTTGGAAATTTCAAGAACAGCTAGACGACTGGGGGGAGCCAGGATAACGTAGTCGGTATAACGACTGGCTACAGGCTGGACGAATGAGAGGTTGGAGTTCGAATCCCGATAGGGTCAAGAATTCTCTCTTCCCCACAGCGTCCAGACAGGCTCTGGAGTCCACCCAGCCTCTTATCTAATGGGTACAGGCGGATCTTTCCCCGGGGTAAAGCGGCCGGGGAGAGAAGCTGACCGCTCACCTCCAACTAGTGCCGAGATCAAGAAAATGTGGATCCTTACATCCACTCTCCCATACGCCTTCATGGCGTAGTGCTTAATTATTTAAGCAAAGGGACAACTTTACCTAGACGACTAGTGGATAGTACAGTAGGGAAGTAGATGGGTGAGAAAAACGTTAACGGCTAGAGAGAGAAGTGGAGGGGATCGATCCGCGGGAGTACTGTCCGAGGCCTCAGTATAGTCCGTAGAAATGTACTCAACCTGGATCTGATGATGGAGACAGAGACCGTTTCCGAAACGTCCAACAGCAGCTCCACATTGACACGGCTGACGGTCCGATAAGACTTCACTGTATATTGTAACCGAAAAGCTTCAAATCATACAAGATGCTTCATTGTCCAGAAACAGAAAGCTTTATGAGACAGCGTGCGTGTTCTTAGGCATATCCGTCCATTGCAACACGTTTTGACGCACGAAAGAGCAGTGGATTTGCACTCCGGTGCAATAACCATATTCCTTCAAGGCATTCTACATTTCTATTTATAGGCGCCTCCGGTTGCTGTTTGTATCCTGCATATAGGCCTAGAAATCTGCTGTTACAAGTCTAGACACCCTGCACCCTGACTTCATTACATTCGTCATATCGAAGAAGAGGTGACATGCGATAGCGTAGTTAATTGAGTCACTATGCTACAAGCCGGAAGGTCGCGGGATCCTATCCCGATGACGTGGATTTTTTCAATTGACTTAATCCTTCCAGCCGCACTATGACCCTGGAGTCGACTCAGCCTCTAACATAAATGAGTACCAGGAATATTCCTTGGGGTAAAGGACGGCCGGTGCGTAAAGCTGACAACCTCACCGCCATCAGTGAGCCGACTGTCTAGAAAATGCGGGAGTCTCGGTATCTCGAACCCCTATGGGCCTCCATGGCCTGTTACTGAGATATCTTTACCTTTACCTTTACCTTTACCTTTAACTTTACCTATATCGAACAAGATATATATAGTCACGCGTTGGGTGTATAACGCGACAAATAACTTTACGCCGTATTGAATATAGCGAATTTATTCCACTCGCTCTTACAATCTCACAATTTACAATCTCACAATTTACAATCTCACAATTTACAATCTCACAATTTACAATCTCACAATTACTACTGTAATCTGCAGTATCACAATTTATTACATCAAATCTTCTAACCACGTGTTCGGTTCTTCTTCCCGCGACTGCCGCTATATTCCAACTGTCTTCGGCAGCTGCTGCATTTTAACTGACTCCTTCAAGTCAAAGTAAAAGTCATTTGCAACTGACCGTCAGTCAGTCAGTCTGTCTGTCTGTCTGTCTGTCTTGGTGTCGAGCCCCAGCTGCGGCTCATGACCGGATGTTTAGGCAGTGTAGTTCTCTTATAAACCGTCAGCCAGACAACGGAAAGCGCCTCGCTTCCCTGTTGCCTAGTCGCCTTGTTTACAGGTGTTGTTGGGCAACGGTGTCGAGGGTTGTTTATTACTGCATAGCAACCGCGGTTTCCCCACGCTACGTCACCACGGGGGGGGGGGGGGGGGTGTTGACTGGCCTGTTACCGTAGTAGCAACAGCGCTCCGATGTTGTTACGTCACCGCTGGCGCGGGAGGTAATGTCCTCCATAGCGCAATACGTCACAATATTTTAAGTAATTTGTTAGCCCTGAGTTTATGCACGACAAGAAAACGTATAAAGTTCGACTTGATCTCTAAGCATATGCAAAATTGAGGTTATATTGAACCGACCTGAACCGTAACTAAATTCACCCGAAACATTTTAGTGTAGATAAACAATAAAAATTTCAACCCGTCCACTAGTTTCAAAGACAAAACATACCGAAGATGGGCACAGTTCCTGTGTGCACTGAGTGTAAAAACCGCACGTGGCAATTACATAACAGGAAACTTGTGCTTTGAATGGAATCAATAATAAAATTTCAGTGATACTGAACACAAAGGAAACATATAGACCAATGACGCGTAATGGCATTCTGCCCGAAGTTGGCTACTGCTTTGCCCTCTGATGTCGTTACTCTGGCTGAATGTCGTCACAAAAATCTTAAAAGATAACCGAGATTAGATTCCATTCAAGTACAGATGTACTAGTAGTAACATTATGGTATGTTTAAATATATGGTTTTATAGCAATTATTTAATTTATGAAATAAACTTCATTGAAAATTCAATCGATATTTCCTTGAGCGGAAGTACACAATGCAATACTCAGGCGGTAACACTGAGCTGCAGAGCCTTCGGATTTTTTTAACAATTCTTTGTATAAGTGGACCGCCTCAATTGTCTAGTGATCACAGTTCCTGGATAAAGCTCCAGAGGTCCAGGTTCAATTCCCGGCGTTACGAAATTTCCTGAGAGGTAGTGGGTCTGGAACGGGGTCCATTCAGTCTCGTGAGGATAATTGAGGAGTTCTTTCAAGGAAATAGCGGCTCCGGTCTAGAGACCCGAAATTAACGGCCGTGGGAATTCGTTGCGCTGACCACGCGACACCCTCTATCCGCAGAAGTTGGCACTAACTTCGCCAACAAACGGCGGTCGCTTGGTCGGTATAGTTCGCTTACAGACTAGAACCACGGAGTTTTGTTTTGTTTGTTTTCTTTGTATAAGCGGGTTAGAATAAGCGAGGTGTGTGCCAGTTTTGAATTTCTATGGCTCCGTTTGCCGCTTGTTTATATGGTATATACTTCCACCCTGAAGACGGAGGCAGAAGGTTTTTCTGAAAGATTATACAGTTCTACCAAACTACACGGCTTCACATTCCAGAATACCACATTCTTCAAATGAGTATTAGACCTATATTTCTCTCTCCTCTCGCTCCCACTTTGGGGCATTGGGCTGATTTCTCAGTTTCTTGATAATTTTAGAGACGGTAGGACTCCACGGGTGAACAGCTCGTCGCAAGGCCTCTAACTAAACGAGGAGCAACACAAACATGGTAAAACGCGCACGCGTGCACACACACACCAAACATTCATGCCCTGAGTGGGATTCGAACCCACGATCCCGGCTTCGGAGCGAACGAAGACAGTTCATGCATTAGACCGCTCGGCTACCGTGGCCGGCAGGCCTACTAGCGTGACTGTGACGTCATGTAATTACAGAGCATCGGCAGGACACGTGGTGTTCCTGTCTGCATCCGGTGTTTTGTCATGAAAAGGCAAGATGTTCGGCAACTACAGCACGCCACGTTACTGTGGATTATGACTTCATCTCACGCTAAGTTTTTACAGTTCTTTCTCGAAATCGAGTGATTATAGTTTTTAAGTTTTAATCGTTTTTCATTTTCGTTTCGATTCATTGGAGGCAGACGTGATCCATCTTGGTTTTGAGAGAATATAGCCCGAAGCGCAGAATTTTCATGAATGAAGTGAATTTTCCATGAAATTTGAATTCCGTCGTAGATAAGTTTTGTTGCTTTTTACGAAAATACTTCCTTCCCTCCAGATGACATGCAGATAAGCTGCCTTATTGTGTTCCAGATGCTAAAAAAGTAGGTGACTCGTGCACGAGGGATGATCAGTGCACCAAAAACCTGGGAAGGTACTCTGAGTGCAAGACGGGTACATGCATCTGTAAGAATGGATCTCGCAAGAGCAGCGACACTTCTAAGTGCGAGAAGGAAAGAAGTAAGTTGCTCAACTACAAAAACCTACACAGAAACAAAAATATTTGTTTCATTGCCCTTCTGTCTATAGGTAAAATTCTCCATGTGCTTAACTAATTAAGCACTATAAATTGAAGGCGTATGGGGAAGTGGGTGTATAGACTCACATGTTGTTGACCTCGGCACTGTTTGGAGGTGAGTTGTGAGCTTCACGCTCCGGCAGCTTTGCCCCCGGTACCTACTCTATACGAGGTTGGGTAGATCCCAGAGCCAGTCTGGACGACGTGGAGAAGAGAAAAATTTTGACACTACAGGTACTCGAACTCCGATCTTTTGGTCGTCCAGCTCGTAGATAGTCGCTATCCCGACTCACCGTCCTCTTGTTTATATCTTTGGATAGTTACACGCTTATGTACGTAATTATTACATTATATTACTACAGTCGCAACATCTTAGTGGGGTCATGTATGTTGAACAGTGGCAGACACACACACACCATGGAATTCTGCTTCTCAGATTCGATAATTCTGAAAGTTAGCAGAACTTTCAATGTGACGTAAAGCTTCTTCTGGGCTAAGTATTCGTCACAGAAAATCGTTATCTTCATCAGTTCACATATTCAACTCTTTTCGGATGTTCAGTGTCTTCGATTTCATGACTCAGTTGAACTTTACATGTAAATAATCTAACGGTTCTGCTTACAGGTTTTGCTGTCCGCCATCTTGCCTCCATGACATGGGTTGCTCTAATGGCCGTGCTGAATACCGCGCTCTAATCAGTTCAACTGGAGCCACGCGATAACCAAATGATTTCTGGAGTACGATGCAGTGTCAAAATACTTGTACCTTTGGTAGCATTAGGCACAGACTCTCTCATCAAGTTTCTTTATCATTCAAAGGGTAAAAGAGAAAATTTAACGCTTGGTACCATCTTGAATTCGAATGTATCGTTTCTATTTTGAATACCAAACTCCAATCGTTTCTTATAATCGATTATCAGTTTTCTCGATTCATATTAGAATTACAGAAATACATTCTCTGTATCTCTATAGCAGTATATACCCTAAGAACATTGCGTAACAACTACACTGGACATTTATTGAGAGTTATGTAACATGTAAGCCCTGTAGGAAATATTAAGTAAACTTTATGAGGAATAATATTAGAGATAAGTCTGAATCGGCACAACAAAATATCTACGAGTAACTTCACTCAGCTTCAGTCATAAAACAGTATTAGTATCACTGTTATTTGTTATATTATTTTTATGAAAATTTCTAATCAGACATATACAAGCATAAGCAGAATTTATCAGTAAGCTCCATGAATTATAAACCTGGGTGAAACTGTGGAATAATTTATTTATACTAAAAATTTAATAAATATTGTAAACCTCTCTGCTCTTTGTCTTACTGCTGCAGTAAATATCGTGTATAAGCACTACAATATTATTTACTACGCTCTTTGTATGCAAGCACAACAACACATCTCAGTTCTCTTGTAGCAAATCTGAGGGGTCCATGAGTAGCCTGGAATCTTCTTAAGAAATTCTTAAAATTTAATTTACCACGAAGACAAGTACCTGAAAATTCCACGACTTTCTTAAATACTGCGAGTTTCCTAAGACTCGACATACTTTAAACACGACTATAATAAAATGGAATAGAATTTTTCAGTAATATATTAATTTCTTTATTAATTTGTGCATCTGTAATAATTTTTTCATTAATTTGTTCACGATGTTTATACATTCTTTAACGGGGATATTTACGTCAAGATCTTTCATGTCCACTCTTAAAGTGCGTCCACATTACACGTGCTCCTGCTCGTGCTCGTGCTGGCGTGACTCGTTATGCTCGCGCGTAATGTGGACGATATGATAAATCACTAGACAAGCAAATTTTAACTTTTTAATTTAAAAACTATAGCCAATAAATTAAAATACGACTACAGCCTATACACACTACGAGTAAATATACGGATCCTCGCGCGCCGAAGCCTGGCGAGCAACTGCAGTAGTGTGGACGAATAAGATTTACGAGCACAAGTAAAAACTTGACGAGTCTCCCGACGAGCACAAGCCTGGCGAACACAAGGCTGGCGAGCACGAGCACCAGCACGAGTAATGTGGACGGGCCTTCAAAGTTTTATATTCAGGGTATTTTCTATGTACTTGATGTTCTGTGATAATTTTATTGAGTTGCTGACTTTGCATTTATTTTTATTGTTGTAAGGTCTTCTATTTTCCTACCAAAAATTTCGCTAATTTGTAGGACGGAGCATAAGAGTTATTTATTACAGAGTTTAATGTAACAAAAAATAATGTAACCTTCAGTTACGACGTACAGATCAACGATTGAGTACACACAAATTTCAATTAGAGACAGAATTGTAAAGAAACGCAATGTCTGCGAAGAGCAATAAAACGAGGCATGCCTGTAATCTTAATATTGCTTGAACGCCTATACCAATCTTCATGAAACAAGTTTGTATAGATCATGACACCTCAGGCCTTCTCAATGGCGTTTATCAGAAATGCCTCTCATCAGTAACACCAATACTACAGCCCGACAAATTATTGAGGAAAAATTCTGAATATTACTCGAATGTTCCAACAGATCGTCTTGAGTTTTTGGTATGTATGTCTTGACACCTGAGACAATATCAACAGCGTAATCAAGAAATACCCGTATTTAGTATTGCCAACACTACAACCTCTCAAAATCTGGAGACTCCTAAACAGATCTGAGTAATTCTAAGTTTCATATTATATTGTCCTCCAGAATACGTCAAAATGATTTACTTTTACACTTCATTGGCTAGCATTATGTTAATTTTAACATCATAAATATTTTATGTAAAGATCTAGTATTTTAAATAGTCACATAAATTTCAGTTAATTTATGTGAAGTTTCCTCTTGCAACTGGCTGCTGCTGAAGTTTCCATGTATGGCCGAAACAAGTCGGTCGTTACGAGGCTGTATTAAGTAAAAGAACTATACATGCACTAGACAGTGTTCGTTCTATTTGATTCACTACAACACCTATCGGCATAATGTTCTGTATTACATCGTATTGCTTTCTTCTTGCTCACATGTGTTCCGGCTTGAATACACAACATAAACTTACTCCTTCCATTTTGTTACGTAAGATCCGAACTACTGTTTCCCCTAAGTTGCTCCTCTGCTGTTCGTAACGTTTCTTCAACAAATTCATTTCGCCCCCGGATACTATTCTCCTTTCTCCTCCCATCCTCTTGCAGATTATCTTCTACGTGTGTAGGGTTCTCCATAATTATGGACAATTATAATGGAATTGTAATTCTTTGTTCTGTCTCTACATGAAAATTGTCTCTATAAACGTCCAATTCATAGGTTTTTCTAGCAACCGTTTGTTTGTTCTTCCTTTGTTCCTAGCGTCTATCAAGTATGGAATTAATTCTCTTCTAATTTTTCTTGCTTGCATGTTATCGTGTGCTATCCTTACGTTCTTTTCCTCTAATAATATACTTCCTTGCATTATTTATAATTTCTTCGAGTATGAGGCAGATCTCACCAATATCTATCGACAGCCTCATTTCCTTCCACGTCTGCTCATCCTGTCTGTCCTCGTGAAATCTACGATTATTTCAGTGTCTCAAAATACGATTCATGGACGTATTTGTCTAATCCAAAAATTGTCAAATTCTTTCTGTGCCAATAATCAACAAAATGTGACTCTTTTTTCCAGTCCCTTCTGTTCCACCTCCCATTTGTTAATCCTTTATTGTTACGCCTCCATTTTTTTATGTTTTTTCTCATTTGTTCTATTCTGATCTCAAATTCGTTCATGCTATTTTGCAGTACCTCCGAAAAAAAATAATTTTCCGGCAATTTTCTCATCGTTTTGCATTCTTCGTATCGTGTCTGTGGGTGTCCATCACTGTTTCAGTTTTCTCCTCAGTTTGTTTCGAGATTCATTTCAATATCGATAACCAACGGCATTTCAATCATGAGCCAGAAAAAGCAACTATCCTTCTAACCATGCACATTCCACGCTGCTTTTCGCATCTGTCCTTCACTCCTTGCTTCCCGTACGTGTCCAGCTCTGGTTCTGTACACCCGCAGATCTGCCTCGCTTCTAGACCTCTCGCATATGCGTCTGCACTGTATGACGCCATACTTAAAGCTGCTGCAGCACCGTTGTTCCATTCCCGGCAGGGTTGAAATTCTTTCGTCTCCATAGTGTTCAGACCGGTTCTTGGGCATTCCCAGCCTTCTACCCAATGGACAGTAGGGGTTCTTTTCCCGGGGGTAAAGCGGCAGAGACAAGAACCTGACCATTCAACCCCATCTAATTCCAAGGTAAAGAATTGTGGAGCTATACCTTCACTCCCCCACAAGCCTTCATGGCGTAGTTCTTAATTAACTAAGCACGGGGACAATTTTACCTTGCCGTTTATACGACTTCCTTACAAAGCCCTTCGATGGATGATTGCCTGTCCAGCCTCGCGGTTCTCTCCGTATAAATAATTGTTAAATTAAAAAAAAATACTTACTCCAGTGGAGATCACTGCGTTAGTTTCTAAGGCAGAGTGGACTCTAAAACGCCATGAACTGGAACATAATTATCAGAAATAACTCTAATCGAGAAAACTGGTTTAATGACCACATATAGGCTGGTAACTGGGAGCTACCTAAATGTTATGAAAGAAGTCTCAGCTGGTGGAAGAGGAAAGCTTTTTTTTATTGCTAGTGGGGTGGGACTAAGTCCCTTGTACTGCGGCCAATTCTGGCCTACTGTACCAGCCCCAGATGATAGGTGAGGGTGATTGTGGAGCAACTTGGTGAAATGAAGATTGGCAGGCGAAACCGAAGTACTCGGAGAAAACCTGCCGCAGCGCCACTTTGTCCACCACAAATCCCACTTGAACAGACCCGGCATCGAACCCGGGCCGCCGCGGTGGGAAGCCAGCGACTAACCGCTTGAGCTATGGCGCGGCCCTTTTTGTTCTCGAGTTATTCTATTTAGAGATATAATTTTGCAGTATTGCTGAAACCCATAGTAACCATAGTTTGAAGTCTGCCTAGCCAAAAGAATCCTTTCTGAGATCCTGCACATCGGTCCGTTACCCAGCAGTGACCTTGTGATATAAGATTCTTGGGAGCGACCAGATGCTAGCCGAACCAGTCTTAGCGATCCCGCTGAGGATGCCAGGACTGAGACGAAGGTCACGTGTTCTGCAAAACTTATCTTTATTGACAAACATACGTCTACCCTATAGGGTAGAGTGGTGATGCATATAGTATTTGTGTCTGATAATGAAGTACGCCTGCTGATATCTTCCTCTCTACTTCATAAATGTTGAACCGTGGGGCCTTGAACTCAGCATGTTCAACTCTGTGTTTGATACTTAATATAGATTTCCACATTGAAGCCTTTAATGCCCAGTGGCTACTATATGTACCACAAGATTCAATTCAACAAAACTCTGCATTATGCCCATATTGTATTTGTATATTTTGTTCGGTTCTCGCAATAAACATCCACTGCTAAGCTATACAGTATTAACCGGCTGGTCTTTGTAGCGAGAAGCAACATATCGTATTTCCTGTGAGGTACGAACTGGATTCAAATATGTTATTTAGGATAAATATAGTCTATAGAGGATTAACAGAAAAAGGAGACAGCCGAGGGCCAATCTGGGAGCCTGTCCCGAAAAGGAATGAAGAGGAGTAGTTTATCTTAACTTTCTTTTCAGGTTTCAAGGTACAAGTGCAATTGATTTTTGACCCCTCCTGGCAGGTTTTGCTCAGCATCAAATCACAGACTCTTTCCCCAAAATACCTCCCCATCATGACGAGAGATAATACACGTACTTAAAGTAAACTGATGATGTTAATGACAATGGCGGCGCCATGGAGAGGACACCAGACGCTACAAGCTTAGGAGGGATTGTATAGAATGATAATTAGATCGTCAAGGGACGGCAACACGCCTCAGGTGCAACTCTCATTACCGTGAGAACAAAAAGTGGACCTGTCATAGCCACAGTTACACAATTTTAAGGGAGGGAAGTAGTTACACTATGTGCATGATTTCGCTGTGTCACGGTTCTTTGGTTCCATTAAGAAGATGCGTGTATGTGAGAGAGACTTCTGACAAACAATCATAGTTATCTCTCACACTTTATCTTCAAGTGTAATCCACTTAAACCACTCGAAACCTGATATATAATTCCACCGTATGTTTCTCACCAGAATGACACAGCAGAAGACTTATTATATTTCAAATCGAAGTTATCGAAGGAAAGATAGAGGGGCGGATAGAAGTGACAAGAAGACGAGGAAGAAGACGTAAGAAGATGCTGGATGACCTTGGGGACAGAAGAGGATACTGGCATTTGAAGAAGAAAGCTCTAGATCGCATTAAGTGGAGGAACTGTTTTGGAAGAGACTGTGGACCTGTCGTCTTGACAGATTACTGATGATGATGATGATGCATTGCACTTGTTGGTTACAATCACAATTAGTACATATATTTGTTTAAATTAGGTTTGAGAGTTTTGAAGAAAACCCCAGGTCACCAAATCATTCAGTTCTTATGTATATAGACCAGTGCTAGCGGATTTAGAAAGCAGCCCGTGGAGTACTTTCGGAGAGCTGGTAAACATTTGAACTGCAGATAAGTTCATCATCGCACCCTCCTACCTCACCCTTGCAGTAAAACACCGAAATACCAAGCTCATAGATTTGTATCAGTTTCTTTTTTAGTATACACCAGCAACCGTCCACTTAATTTCCTTTAATTTCATCACAAATTTACGTTGCAGGCCATAGGCCTGGACTGGTTAAGGAATTGTGATAATACTTTGGAAGAACTAATTAAAATTCCACTTTGTCAGTTCCAAGAAATTTAATTTTGCTAATATTTTTCTAAGTTTATAGGCTAGGAGTCTGCTCCCTGTTTTGTGTTTTAGGGGGTCTCAGCCCACTTTGCCTTATATTCCATCCCCACTGAAATCAAAGCTCTCTGTGACTAACAAAATCCTACTATACAAAGCTATATTGAAACCTATTTGGTCCAGTGGTCTTCAAATCCGGGGATGTGCAAAGCCACTGACAATCAATCTCATCCAGAGATTTCAATCAAAAACACTAAGGTCAATTGCAGACGCGCCATGGTATGTGAGCAAACTTACACTCCATAACGACCTAAAGATACCCTTCGTCAAAATTGAAATACTAAGAATGGCTGAAAGGTACAAAAACAAAACTGTAAACCATGACAACGTATTAATAGAAGAGCTATACACCAATGGTCCAGTGACAAGAGGATTGAAGAGAACATGGCCCCAAGATATCATCAATCAATGAAATAGACTTCATGTAGGAGGAATATCACTGGATGTTTCCCTTCCAAGCTAACCACCTACAGCACATTTACTTAATACTCTGTAATGATGTAGATTGTAAAGAAGCATAATAATAAATAAAAAAATGAAATTAACTTCTCGACATGCACGTACCAGCTGCATGATCAGAAGTTAATACACTGCGACACTCTTCTCCGAGTGGTAATAAATCTTGGCCGAGGTACCAATTACGCCATGGTAGGTCACTGTCAAATGCAGGGGTGTCAAGGTCGGAATCCATTATATAACACAGTCCCAAGTGTAGCATATGGCCTGCGGTCTTACGCAATTAATTGTGGTCAAAATACAAGTCATGGCATGCGAAAATCAGCTCTCCGTGCACAATCCAGTCAGCTGCAAGACACCAAAGACTGAAGATACGAATTTGGTAAGACACTTTTCGGTTTCTAATTTATAAAATATAAACTAAATACCATAAAGTGATTTCAGAAATTGAGTTTGCGTACTTGTTGCTTTAGTAACGCGATATGCCACTACATGACTTAATTACATTAACATCTAAATTCTGTGTTTGTGTACGTCTCCCAAACTGTCTCTTCTCTCCAGGTTTTCCGATTATGATCTGTATGTATATCTCATCTCTCCCCTGTCTACTACACAGTCAGCCCCAAATCCTTCCGAAATTATAAGTCCCAATACGTGGTGAATAGCGAAGACATTGATTTCCAAATATGCGGATTTCGATATCCAAATATTTTCCAAAGCACTTCTAAACAAACACTAATAATTTATTCTTAATTTTTAATGTATGGGAACGGATTTCATACTCCACGAAGCTGTAGGCAAAGCTGTTAGTTTTTATATTTTAATTTTTAAATATTTAGATAGCAAACGCTAAGATAAGAGAACTGTCAAAATCTTCACACTCAAATCGGATAAGGGAAGCTGTAGATATCCAGAACTGAACAGAGCACATAAAGATATATATATATAGATGCTGTTTAGAAATTGTTCTTATTACATACATAAAACATATATACAAAATTATTAGTGCTACAACTGTTTTGTAGAATTTTTGTATTTCTGCCGGTAACACGGAAGTAGGTGTTTTATTTATTCAACATTTTCATTTGCATTCTAATTATTTAGCATGAGAACTTCAAAATCCTGATCAGTCAATTTATTTGTGCCAATTTATCAATCTAATTATAATCAGGCTCTATTAAAAGACGAGCAGGCTTGTGGCGTACTATATACATCACTTTAGGTTTAAGAAGTACTCATCGATGTCAATAAAATATTTGCTAATTTTAGATGACAACTCTCCTACTTCCAACTGATAATAAACACTACGACTACTATATCAGTATTAATGGCACGGTTCATATACGTAACAAAATAATATAGACTGGCATAATCCAACTTTTCTATTGTACAATAAACGTATTTGTATAACTTTAGGGGCTTAATCCTCGGTATCACAGCTGCACGTCCTTTATACATGCTGTGTGCCAGAAAACCGAATGCATGCAGTCAGTTCTGCAGTTCTGCGTGCTCTCCACGTGTCCCTTCGTGAACTTCAGCGGTTTCACAATATTCTGATATGAATGCTGTCACATCAGCCCGTAACAACTTATTTTGATATTTCGTGTACCGTTCTGAGTCTCAATGGTGGCGATATTGCCCAAGGACTTCAAACATTACGCTGGTAAAGGAACAGGACCTCTGAATGCCACTTACTTAATGGATCTGAAGAAGTTCACATTTTATCAACTGTGTTAGCTGGATTGTCGTGATGTGACGCCGTATAATCAAGTAGAATATTGATCTTCTACCAGACTACACGGCTTCATGTCAAAAAAAAGATAATATTCTTAAAATCACTTCCGATTTACTGCAGATTTCAACTATTCAGAAACCAGAAGAATAAGAGGTAGGCCTCACCGTCTCTGCATCTGTATTTATATATCACTTAACAATTTCTGATTGTCAGAACCAAGCTGCATGCAAAGTGGTATGGACGTCTCGGCGCATGCGTCCATCTCAAGGCGTACTTCATAAATCCCACCTACCAAAACTACAACCTCTCAAACTGTTTAGGTAATAACTTCAATTATGCTTGAATGTTGTTATGAAACTTGGTGTATATCAAGGACCGTGGCACCTGAACCCATCTCAAAGGTGCATTTCATACACCATTCCTCAATTAATACCAACATTGAAACCTCTCAAACGTATGAGTTACAACCTTAATATTACTTGAATGTCTGTACCAGTCTTCATGAAACTTGGTACCGTATATCATGCCATATGAAACAATATCAGGGATGTACTTCATAAATCCACGCAATATAAATAATAAACTGCAGACTCGCAAAATTCTGAGTTTTGTTCCATACTACTTGAATGCCTGAACATGTGACGTGTTATGGATTGTGACTCTGTACGGGGTTTCAGATTGGATATTAGATTTGTTGACCACTTTAACACACAACACCTAATTACACATAATTATACCGCCATCGGTGATTTCATTCTCGCAAGCAAACCGGTACCACGGCAATGTGTTACCGAGGCGTTCCCTAACAGCTGCCGTCTATTCTTGCTTATTAAGAATATGCTGTCTAGCAACGGAGTGGTTCCGTTGTTTGTATAGACGTCTTTCTTTCAGATCCGTTTGCAATGTGAGGTTCGTAGTGTGGTTAGCTTAGCAACAATACAGTTATTTGTGTCTCCAACAGATGAACAGCATGGGACGCTGGAGCACACCTGTCCACTGTTATTTATATAATTAAGTGCTTTATGTAGGTTTCCTGAACGGGAAACACAGAGGGCAGAACGCCTCTTCTGGCGTGTGTGCGTGTTTTTCCATGAAATGGGTGATGTAATGTAACTTGTTAGAAGCTCCTGACATTCAAGGAAATATCAATGTCACGTCCAGTTTCGAAGTAACAAAATTCGCGCTATTTATACGTACGGAGCGAGTGAGTTTCTATTTGTTGAAGTTTGAAAACAATACAGAAGCCGCGAAAATTTGTACTTATATTTATTTGGCATACATTTTGCCTATGTGAGGACGATTGAGCAACATGGCGTCACTTTACATCAGTTATGCGCGATTTTGTCTGAGGATTTACGAGTATGATCATGTACAGAAATTTTAGACCACTGGCCATAATCAGTGATAAGTGTTGACTTGGAAGATTTTTAATGTAAACCAGGTGGTGACGAATATTTGGAACCTCGATAGTGTAGTCGGCATAGTGGCTGGCTACATGCTGGACGACCGAGAGGTCGGAGTTCCAGTCCCAGTAGGGTCAATATATTCTCTCCTCGACAGCGTCCTGAATGGCTCTGGGGTCCACCTGGCCTCCTAACTAATTTGTACCGGGGAGTTCTTTCCTCGTGGATAAAGCGGCAGGGGCGTGAAGCTGACTACTCACCTCCAACTAGTGCCGAGGTCAAGAAAATGTGGATGTATACATCCTATCCCCCCTACACCTTCATGGAGTTGTGCTTAATTAGTTAGGCACAGAGCAACTTTTCATTTTACACTTTTCCTAAAAGTTTTCCAGTGGAATTCAACACGAACACAAACTCGGAATTTCAATTAATTTTCTTAAATGGCCATCGTCGCTGAAATCCTTAGAATCCAATGCGGATATTGCACACTATTTCTGTGGCCCCTAGTACGGCACATCTGAACACACCGTTTTCAGTAATGCAATTGGTGAGGATTCGCACTACACTCATGTCTGAGAACTACTGTCCGGTAAATACAGCCGGAGGTCAACGTTAAACATTTTCACAAAGTGCCATTGTTCTAAACTGTCTGCAGGCAATGGATCACAGCCTGGTGTGGATATTTCTGTTGGGTGCCGTGTACTGGGCCAGAGGTGCACGCATCCTGGGAATCTTCCCCACACCGTCCATCAGTCACCAGTTGCCGTTCCAAACCATCATGAAGGCCTTGGCAGCGAGAGGACACGAAATTACTGTCATCAGCACTGACCCTCTCAAGGTTTCAGTACAGTAAACTCTCCCGTGATTGCAAGAGTGTACAATTATAGTATTTCTGTCCCTCAGTTCACCCTAAGTCTGTACTGCCAGAGTACAATACCTCGGTACACTGCACACCGTATTTTCACTTAGTTTCCTTTATCGGCATTTAGTTATTATTATATCCGAGAAAATGTGTATAATGTCCTTCTAAATGAATGCGTGATTCACAAAGTAGTCCCCACATGCTTACATTTTTAAGTTCTTAACACCAGTAACACCAACATGACGGCCATGCAAACGTCTAGGATTGGGGCGAAACTATCACCACTTGAACCCGGTTTCTAACGCGCTGTGATTATACATCTTTAGAATGTATACAAACTTCTGTTATGCTCACGTTTCTAAACGGGATGCGAACAACGCGAAATCGATATTGCCACCAAAGTCTTGTACGAAGAAATCTCCGGAATGAAAAAGCCCCTTGTCTCTATCACCCCTAGTTAGTTAGTTAGTTATTAGAGAGGGTGGGTTGCCCCATGCACTTAGACCTGCAGTGGTCCATTGTGCTTCCCTCTATGATTTCTACAAGCCTCTATATCCTACCAGTACTGGTGCTTACCATCAGTCCCGCCCAGCNTATATATATATATATATGGAAAGTGGCTGTATTCCGGCGAAAATTTGGGATGTTACAATTAGATATAAAGAGAATATAATCATATTATAAATAAAGTTGCACACAGCTGTTATGGGAGTGGATACATCATACACCCTAGGTTTGACGAGTCCGCTATCTGGACTAATCTGTACGGTCCAGTTAACGTGAGAATCATCTGTCTATTCCGAATGAGGGAAAAAAGATTTACAGTATCACCCAGACGATGGTACTACAGAATACACACGTTAAAAATATCTGTTAGCATTAGTCTTGAAGTCGACGAAAAGTGAGAATCAATGTGCAACGTGTAGGTCTAGAAATATATTTCCTCGACTGCAAATGTATCTGTATATCTGTTCCAGACGCCAGTTCCAAACTACACAGACGTGGACCTCTCCTTCTCATATGAACACTTCCATGCCTCATTAGACTTCACAACAATGGACCAGTCTACGGCATACGAACTCGTAGGACGAATGGTTCCCGTCATGAACAAGGTGCTCGAGAAACAGTTCAGTTCCTCGCAGCTTCAAGAATTTATTAGGTTGGCATTTCTGTCTGAATTACCTGCACTGTATAGATATAAGATAACTTCGTATATACGCGGTTTTCCTTATTCTCTTTACCAACCATATTCTATCATTTACGTTGTAAGAACCATGTCGTGTTCGTCATTGACTCCTTTCGGATATACAGAGAGTTCGTTTTTTCTTATGTTTGATGACCGGTTCACAGTTCTGCGCTTCCGTAGATCGGTGAACTGCAGGCTCCGAGGCGCATTCGAATTTTGTCGCTCAGTCATTATATCTGATGGCCGATAACCTTTGGAATTCGGCGAAATTATTAACTCCGTGAACCGCTTGACGGCATTATGTTTCACGGCGAGCGGTTCGGTTCAATCGTGGGTATTTATTTATAGTTTATCAGCAGTAGGCAGCAGTTATCAGCCCCTTTAGCCTTTGTTTTCAGTTACAGTATGTGAGCAATGTAGTACCCATGGTGCGGTATACTTCAGAACAACGCGTATTTCTGTATGGCACATATCTGAAATATGTATCTGCTAAAATTGTCAGTGAAAATTTCGACTTAAATTTCATGATAAAACAGTCACAGGCAGACAAACATGTCGCAGGTTGGTGAATAAACTTATAACGGGATTCTTAATGGACAAGAAACCAAAACATACGCGCCTAGTGTTTACTGACGTGAAGTAAGATGACGTAGTGAACAGGCTTGAACATACACCTAGTAAATCACTGAAACAACTAAGTCAAAGGACTGGAGTGTCAAAGTCTAGTGCAAGAATGGCAATGCAATTGATGAAGATTAGACTCTATAAAACAAGGGCAATCCACACCTTGCAGCCGCGCCAACAAGTTAATGTGAATCATTTTTCCACTTGTTTTCTATGGTCTGTCATCGAATTTGAGATCTATCCGGAACTGAAATTATTTTTTAATGAAGAATGGTTTCGTTTGCCAGGATACATAAATATGCAGAGGTAATAACTTCCCTTCATTCCTAACGTTATCGGCCGCCGGACATGCTGATTCATCTGCAAAATTCTTGTGTACATCGCAGCATGCGGAGCACTGACCACCATGAAGCGCAGAGTCGCGGAACCGACCAACAATGTAAAACTTCTACCTGTAGTATTTTTCTCAGTAGCGTTGCGAAGCATAGAATGTTGCTTAAAGAGGTCATATGTGATTTCAAATTATGTCCATCTTGTCTCCGATGACGACCTTCGCTTCCAATTCCACCTTCTCGGATAATTAATCACCGTAGAATTCCAACCTCCTAAACTATATCAGATAAAGCATTTATGTGAGAAAAAAAAAGGTGATATATTTAAGCATAATTAATTAGACAGTACGCCATTAAGATGGAAGGCGGACTGGAGGTATGGCTTTTTAACCTCGACAATAGAAGGATGTAAGTGTTCAGCTTCAATCTGTAGCCGCTTTACTCCGAGAAAGCGATGCCACGGTATCCATTAGCATGCCGGGTGGGCCCCGGGAGTTGGTTCGGATGCTGTGTACAAAAGAAAATTCTCCTACTCCTGCCGGGAATAAAACTAAGATTCATCGGTCTTCCAGACCGTAGCCTGTTGCTATACCGAGATTCCTGGCACTAATATCATAATAGACGGATGACACTTTTTGAAGTAATATTTATGACCTAAACGCCTTCCCCACTTGTGCGTTATTTGAATACCGTTTATCTTAATATCAGAATAAAGCCTTCATTTAAATCTTAAGTCAATAAGAATACACGTAAAAAATGTGCGCGTTTTCCAAAAATTTGAATATCGCTTATATTTCAGTTCACCTGTGTGGGTGTGTTTGTGTGTGTTTTTATATGTATGACTGTCCTTTTTCCATATTTAACACAAGCTTACCACTGTGAGAAATTCGTGTTATATTTCCAGGTCAAATGCAACGAAATATGACCTTGTGTTTCTGGAGGCGTTTTTGTACCAAAGCTATCATGGTCTCATACACCTCGTGGGATCTCCACCTGTCATAGGAATATTGTCCCTTGAGTGCCTCTGGACTGTGGGGAATGTAATGGGGAATCCCAGCAATCCTGCTTTTGTTCCGGAAATTCTACTGTCGTATGGAAACCGCATGACGATTTATGAGAGACTACAAAACATGCTATTTTGGTTATGGATAAGGTACATAGATTTTATTAGTACTGCTAATCCTTGCTTACATTGTCACATTTCAAAGACTAGACCCTCCTGACCGCTTCCACTCAAAGTTTCAGACAAACGTTTAGAGAAACTTTTCTTACACGGTGAGACGCAACATTTTGAATTCAATTCTTTCCTAAACGGACACGCATAACAAGCCATAAACTGTGCTAATGGAAGTGATATGATGTTAAGACCTATCTTTGCCGTGTTGCTGATTCAATGTTGACTTGTTGCCACCTAAATTATTTTTATATTTGTTATATACTGGGGTCTTTCTAATCTGTACCAACTGTGAACACCTAGTGATGGGCACTATGATGCACGCCCACTATCAAATAAGTCTTCGATAACAAAATATTGACATCGACGCACTTTACGATATGTTTCATTTAAACGCATTTTAATCAACCTGACTAATTTCATGGTAACCCAAAGTCTATCAGAATATTGTACAATACTTCCCTCCTAACTGAAAAATAGGCTTTCCTGAAGTCTACAAATAGCTGAGGTACTGTCTCATTGTACTCCCATTTTTTTCTCCAATATCTGACGAATGCAAACGATCTGATCTGTACTTGATCTGTTACGTCGAAACCCACACTGATGATCCCCAATAATTTCACCTATATATGGACTTGACCTTGAAAGAAGAATATTGGATAATATTTTGTATGAAGTTTCATCCTTCTTATTAAAGCACCCGTCAATAATGAAACAATATTTTAAAATATAAAATACATCTTGAAAATGTTTCTCACTAAAAGTGAAACTTTAATTCTTTACGAGGTCATTAAGACGCAATATACAGGAAGACTGCACTACTAACACTATACAAGACATAAAAACTACGATAGTCGCAAAAGCATACAATGACAGCATTCTAGGAGTAAAATAAAAAACTAAACAACGACATGCACGGAAGCAAGATGGACAAGTGTACAGTACAGTGATCTCCCCGAAAACAAAAGAAAAATTGTCTGATGATGGCCCAGGCGAAACATGTTGTAAACAGAAGAAACATGAAAACTAGAGATATTTTAGTAATCTGAAAATCACTTTTAGTGTATAAATTATACACATACTTTTAGCGTCTTAGACATTTTATGATTTTAACATCATGAAGTATTAAAGTTACATTTTTAGTGACAAACACTTTCTAAGATGTCTTTTATATTTTAAAATATTGTTGCATTATTGAAGGTTTCTTTAAATAATATGGATGATGCCTCAGTGCAACGGGATGCTAAAAGTAAAATATAATATTTGTATGAAGTTGATTGCAGTGAGATCCCGCGATAATTACTACAGTCAGTTCTATCACCCTTCTTGTGATAAGTAATTTTTCCTTATGCCAAATAGAAGTAATTAGCCTATGGATCTTAAATGTAATATTTCGCCTCCTGCTTGAATAAGTTCTGCCTGAATTTGATCACTATCTGGCGATTTATAACTTTCCAATTTTTTTCAATAGCAATTTCAACCTCAAAAGGGCTACGATCAGGTAGTAGTAAAAGTAAAGATACCCTGTAACAAGCCGTGGAGGCCTATAGGGTTGAGAGATGTTGAGGTTCCCACATTTTCTAGACAATCGGCTCATAGATGGCGGCAAAGTTGTCAGTCTTACGCGCCAGCCGCCCTTTACCCCCAAGAACATTCCAAGAATATTCCTGATACTCATTTCTGTTAGAGGCTGAGTCGACGCCAGGACCATAGTGCGGATGGAAGGATTAAGTAAATTGAAAAAAAAAAATTCAATGACCTCATCGGGACTTGAATCCGTGACCTTCCGGCTTGTAGCATAGTACCTCCACCAAATACGCTACCGTGTGCACCTCAGGTAGTAGTATCTTGTGAAATGTAACGCCGTTTATTCTGGCATTATCCCACTAACATTTCGAAACAATTCGTTTCTGTTTGCAGCCTGCTTTTTGCTTTACTTACTCTTGGACCCTGATAATGACGCGGTACGTTTCTCCGAAATGTCATTGAAATTCTATCGACCTACACAGCACTACAGTCCTTGAAGACAGAAGTCTTAACATGCAAATTAATATTTGAATATAATTTTTATTTTCAGAATTACAGATAGGCTATATACTGAAACTTGTCTGGTTTCAGAAAAAGGCCATTTTTTAAGAAAATTCTTTCTTTTTCTTTTATTACTGACAAAAATGCCTTGGGTGCTTTTACTCATCTGGGGCATTTATCTATTTCTGAAATATAATTTTTACCCCCCAAACATTAATGACTGTTTCTGTCATGGCATTTGGGAATTTTGTGTTCATGCGATATTTTGATAAATTTCATAGCCGTTAAGCCAAATTCTCTATTTAAGGACAAAGTGATACGTGAGCTGTTTCTGTGTGACAGGTACAAAATATACACGGAATGGGTTCCAGAGCAAGAAGCTATCATGAGGAGATTCTTTGGCCTCAGCCCCCCTCCTGTTATTGATGCAGAAAAGAACATAAGTCTGCTTATGCTCAGCTCCAATTGGGTGTTCAACTACCCCATCCCTCTTATGCCAACAGTAGTGACTTTTCACAGCTTGCACATCAAGAGCACAAATGACACACTGCCAAAAGTAAGGAAAAAAATCAGTGAAGTAAGCTCTTTTCCTTTATTTATCATTGCTCATGGCTTTTTCTAGCAAATACATAAGTGCTTAAAGAAGAATTTAACCAATAATTACAAAAGATTTTGTATAACCTAACCCATTACTATCCACTTCTGGAACCATACTCGTAGAAATTCTGTAAAGCTCTTCAATATGTGGTCATGTTGCATAATCGAAACAAGTCTTCCCATGTTTTGTAAACAGGTTTAGGAACAGTGCAGTATTAATTATGGAACAGTGAAAGGATCCCTTTCAGAGCAATTCAAAAATTTTTGGTCATTTGTTTAGAAAAGAAATATCCTACAGCTCTCGAAAACCCTATTGCATTTATATGCACTTAACAACACAGTGAGCTTGAAATTTAAAAATTTTTAGCAACCCAAAATACTTTTCAACTTTCAATATTGCACCTTAAAATAAAATAAATGAGGCTCGATTCAAGAATGAGAAAAGATACTGAAGTTCTAAATATTATTATACAGATAGCATATTTTCAGTTTTCAATGAAAGCAATGTAAATTATTCAGTACATGAAATATAACACTAACCGTGACGTTTGGCCGCGCCACAGCTCAAGCGGTTAGTCACTGGCTTCCCATCGCTGCGGCCCGGATTCGATCCCAGGTCTGGTCAAGTGGTATTTGTGATAGACAAAGTGGCGCTGGGGCAGGTTTTCTCTGAGTACTTCGGTTTCCCCTGCCAATCTTCATTCCACCAATTGTTCCACAATCACCCTCACCTATCATCTGGGGCTGGTAAAATAGGCCAGAAGTGGCCGCAGTACAAGGGACTTAGTCCCACACCACTAGCAATAATAAAAAAACTATGATGTTCTCTTTAAGACACATATCACTTGAAGTAAGTAAGTAAGTAAGTAAGTAAGTAAAGGTAACCTTATAACAGGCTGTGGAGGCCCATATGGTTGTGAAATGTTGAGGTTCCCACAATTTCTAGACAATTGGCCCATACATGGTGGTAAGATTGTCAGCCTTATGCGCCAGTCAAATTTCATAATCTTCACAATCTGATTACAGTGATATTAACTATATAAGAATTACAAAAAAAACACCATCTATTTTCAATGCTTGTTTTAAGAATCACATTCCTGTTGATATACTATTTTATATCTCTTTTTGGAATGTCTTCCCACAACAATTCACATACAGTTACAGCAATTAATAATACATATTACTGGTTTATGCTACATCCAGATTATCTCATTATGAGAAAACTGCTTTACAGATGTGACAGACACACATACCCAGCAGGCCCAGCAGTATAACACACGCAGTCACAGGAGCAAGACACAACACAAAGCACAATACACACACGAAAGTAGAAAGAGTGCTCCGACAGAAGAGGATAGGTGTGCCTCGCGTAGTGAGATACGACATAGGGATGAAAAATCCTGAAAAATTTTAATATTTTTAACATTTAATATTTATCAATATATATGATAAATATATATTTTAGTTATTTTAATATGAAGACGGCAAGGCATGCAGTGAACTATTTTAACGTAAATCGAATAAGCACCTGAAGATGGCACTTTTGTGCCGAAACATGTAGTGTGAGAGAGAGGAGTGAGATAGATGAATGTATGCACTGGAAGACGGTTGAAATAAATCATGGATGTGACAGAATTCTGATTCTGATGCTGATTCCCCCTTTCAATTAATGCATTTTTATACACCATCCAATTCCCTCTTAAGAAAGATTTGAAGGTCTGTCTACGTCTTGGATTAAAATCATAGGATCATTGTCTTCTACATTTTTCAAACCAGTTCCTTAAAATTAATAATATCACATGTCTCCTTGTACTTCATGACTGAATGAAAATTTAGAATATTCAGCCAGAAGTAGTTTTCCTCTTCTCCTCCCCGACATACACTGCTATGGCTCTTTATGATGAAAGACACACAAGGAAGCTATTAAAGCAGCAGAGGGGAATTTTCTGTTGGTACAGCAGTTTAACCAAAATAATTAAAAACTTTCAAGCTGTCAACTTCAAGACATGAGTTAAAACATGCATACACTGCAGTTTCGTCAATGAGCAGATAGACTCCACATATTACAGACATAACTGAATTGCTTTCAGGACCTACAGACGTTTCTTGATGAAGCTGAATATGGTGTGATATACTTCAGTCTTGGTTCCAATGTGCGTAGTGATCGTATGCCACAAGAGAAGAGGCATGCTTTTCTTAGCGCTTTCTCTGAATTGCCACAGAGAATTTTGTGGAAGTGGGAGTCAGACAATCTGCCTGGACAGCCACCAAATGTGAAGCTTGGCAAGTGGTTTCCACAGCAGGACATTCTAGGTATTACATCCTTCTGTTTTAACAGAAAGAGTATATAATATTATAAGACATTTAATTCCCACTTAAAAATTCAATGGAGCATAATCTATATTGTAATTATTTATAGATTAAATACAGTTTAATTACAAACCTAAGTTCTGAACCTCAGCATGAATGTGAGAACACAATAATGCATTCTTGAAAAGGGTTCAGAGGGCGCATCTATTTTTTCCCAAGACCATTCTTATATGGAATTTTACATGCATACAGTGGCATTTATAAACCTGGAATTCATAGGTACTTTCCCTTCCCACCTCTTTTATCTTTCCCTCCTCTTGCCATTCCTTTCCCCTTTCTTCTGCAATCAAATTTATATTCAATTTATATTCAAACAGTCTGTGCAAATATTGCAAAAATGTACCTATGCAAGACAATAAGGCAAAAAATTAGCCACACTACAAACATACTGCATTAGCTCAATCTTCCAGGTCTGTTCTCTGTGAGTACTAGCAAATACACACACAACTGACTTTTCCATATAGGCATAAGATGCTGAGCATGAAACGTAGACATTACTGTAAGAGTAACACCAAATTACTGTAACAGTTTTAATTATAGTGCAAAATTCATATTAATTTATACATGACCAACTCCCATTTAGTATGTCACACAACACAAGGTAGAAACCACATTTTTGTTTTGTATAACAAAATCAGGGGGGCACAAGGTAGCGTAGTTGGTTGAGGCACTATGCTACAAGTGGGATCGAATCCCAAAGAGGTCATTGGATTTTTTTCAATTTACTTAATCCTTCCAGCTGCACTAGGGCCCTGGGGTCGACTCAGCCTGTAACAGAAATAAGTACCAGGAATATCCTTGGAAAGTTCCTGGGGGTAAAGGGCGGCCAGCGCATAAGGCTGACAACCTTACTGCCATCTATGAGCCGATTGTTTAGATAACGTGGGAACCTCAACATCACACAACTCTATCGGCATCCACGGCCTGTTACAGGGATACTTTTACTTTTTACACAGATACACAGATATCGTTCATCACTTATGGAGCTGAGCCCTTCTTGAGAAGCCGCCAATTGTGTAGCTACTCAAGAGCTTCTCAGCATTTTATCGAACCCGAACGTTCATTTCCGTGTTCACAAAAACCTTTCACTTGTCCCTATCATGAGCCAGATCATTCCAATCCATACCATCTCATCCTATTTCTCTAAGATCCAGGTTAACATTGTTCACCCACCTACATTTTGTTCTTCCTAGTGGTCTGTTTCCTCCTGGTTTTCCCACCAATATCCTGTATGCATTCCTCTTCTCCCCCATTCGTGCTACATGTCCTCCCTACCTTATCCTCCTTCACTTGAATGATTGGACATCAAGTATACGTGAATGCTGTCTCCTTTCTACCAAAATAAGGTCATTTTCGGTGGGTATATCGTCACCACGGCATGGCGTGACCTCAGGTTGCAGATGGAGGAGACTCCCTCCAGGTTTGTTTGGCATCTGTGAATGTATTGAATATGCAGTCACGGACAGCTGACAAGGGGTCGTCCTCTTGCTTGGGGGTTGGACATGGGACTAAAAACTCCTAACCATTAAAAATAATCTTGTTACAAAAATTTGCATAAGCCTCAACCTGGAGGGATTCTTTGGATAAACAAAAAAATTAACTTCCGGCATAGCAACAGACATAGAAAAATAATTAAAAAACAAATTAATAAGACAGCAAAAACAATTGTCTGTCATTCATTTTGTTGCAGTCACCCTTCCTATTATAAACATTTTTTTTCTCTGTTTCTTTCCAGCTCACCCCAACATCAAGCTATTTATAACACAGTGCGGTCTCCAAAGCTTCCAGGAGGCTGTATATCATGGTGTGCCTATGCTGGGAATCCCGTTCATTGCAGATCAGAAGTACAACGCCAAAAAAATAGTCACTGAAGAAATTGGACTCCAGTTGTTATTTCATGAGCTAACAAAAGAGACACTACTGACCACTATAAAGGAAATGATTAATAACTCCAAGTAGGTGCAAATCAAGTTTGAGGATATGAGACATCCTAGAAAACAAATAAATCAGTATGATATTATTGTTTGAGTGATGACACATTTGGAATGGATGATAAATGTACAACACATCAAATGAAAAATGTTAGGTCCAATAAGAAAGAAGTTCTATAAATTGCATTATGCAGAGTCAGCACCCATGAGATACTGTGATTTTTAACAGACCAGATAATTAAGAAATGTTTCATCCCTTTCTGTACCAAGTCAGGCTTGTCTTAGGACACAAACATTAAGATAATGCTTCCAAAAACATTTTCTTCTTGGAATCCTTTTTCATACAGTATTTATCAAAGTAAAGCTGTTTCAACTGCAATGTTTATATGGCATTGAATGAAATGAAATTGTTGTGGCATATCTGAAAATACTATTCTACCGCTAGTCAAAAGTGGCTGAGGAAAACCAAAAACTGAGAGCATCTGATAATCTGGATACGATCTGTCCTTCATGAATACAAATACAGAATTACATCAATTTGTAAGATTTGAGGCTTTCACGGCGGTGACTATGAAGAAAGCAGTCTTCTGGGATTTGGCACCGTGTATATGTGGTGTTAACCCCACATATACACGGTGCCAAATCCCAGAAGACTGCTTTCTTTACATCAATTTGCTTGTAAAAAAACTGTGCCCCAAAAAATTGCAGAATAACAAATTCTGTGGCCTGTAGTCTGCAAGCAAACTATACCGACGAGTTACTGCCGCCTGTCGGCGAATTTAGGGCCGGCTTCAGCAGATAGATCGTGTCATGTCGTCAGCATAAATGTCCCCACGGTTGTTAATCTCGGTTTTGTAGACTGGAGCAGCTATTTCCTTGAAATAGCTCCTCAATTATCATCACAAGGCTGAGTTGACCCCATTCCAGACCACTACTTCTCAGAAAATCCGGTAGCGCCGAGAATCTAACCCAGGACCTATGGATCTGCAGCCAGGATCTCTGACCACTGCACCACAGATTCAGTATTTGCAAAATAACACTCAAAATAAAACAAATAACTGGAGATATAAACAGGTGAATTATTTGCAGCACATAATAATCCTTCCAGCTGCACTATGGCCTTGGGGTTCACTCAGCCTCTAACAGAAACGAGTACCAGGAATTAATTAAATAATTTTCCTGGGGAGTAAATCGTGGACAGCGAGTAAGGCTGACAACCTTACCTTCACAGCCTGGTACAGGGATAACATAATAATGATCAGCAGTCAAATTTAAAATAACACATTTGAGGTTATTGGGGGCAGTAATTTTACTTTCCTCATTTAGGTCTCACATAGTGAGAATTTTGTAAGGGTTGTCATTTTCTTACCTTATTCTGTGACAATATTCAGAATCCAGTTTCACACTGTCATGTTGTGACGTGCGCACTACACTGTTAGACTCAGGATTCCCTTATTTGAAATTATGTGGCAAAAGTGTTACAGAAATTTGAGGAATTATTGCTTCAGCGCAGAGTCATACTCATATNGGCGTATGTGAGTGAGTGATAGAGCTGTATTAGAGTGTAATCAAGATAGTACGTGTAACCAAACTGTCAATAAATCCAGTCATCCAAACTAGATATGATGTGACCTTCTTGAATACAAATACAGAATTACACCAATCTGCTTGTTGAAACAAAAGCTGTGTCCCAAAGAAACTGCAGAATAACACTTGAAATAAAACAAATAGCTGGAAATATAAAAAGGCAAATTATTTGTGGCACACTGTCATGTTGTGACTTGCACACTACAACTTTAGACTCAGGATTCCCTTATTTGAAATTATGTGGCAAAAGTGTTACAGAAATTCGAGCAATTATTGCTTCAGCACAGAATCATGCTCATACATAATGCTATTGAAACATTAGTATCAGGCACTGATAGGTCATTCAGACCTCAATAATATTGAAAAAGAATTTTACATTCATTTAGCAAGAAGAAGAATCTTTTTACCAGCAAATTGGACTTAAATTTGAGAAAGAAACTAGTGAAATGCTACATTTGGAGCATTGCTTTGTATGGGGCTGAAACTTGGACACTTAGGGCAGTAGATCAGAAACACCTGGAAAGCTTCGAAATGTGGTGTTGGAGAAGGATGGAGAAGATCAGGTGGACCGATTATGTGACAAATGAAGAAGTGATATTTAGAGTCAGTGAGCAGAGGAATATCCTACACGAAATAAGAAAATGGAAGACTAATTGGATTCGTCATATCTTATGCGGTAACTGCCTTCTAAAGGAAGTTATTGAAGGAAAGAAAGAGGGGCGGATAGAAGTAACANCGCACTACACCTTTAGACTCAGGATTCCCTTATTTCAAATTATGTGGCAAAAGTGTTACAGAAATTCAAGCAATTATTGCTTCAGCGCAGAATCAGACTCCTACATAACGCTATTGAAACATTAGTATCAGGCACTGATAGGTCATTCAGACCTCAACAATACTGAAAAAGAATTTTACATTCATAATATTATATTCATGAGGATAGGGACGTAGCATTAATGAAAACCTTCCCTAGCTCAAAACCCTCAACCCCTTACTTAGGTACAAAATCGGCTTTCAAATTGTAATATCAATAGAAAGGTACTTTGTAAGTGGGTGGTTATAATGCAGTCTGGGTTAAATAATCCGATCTCTGGAGACCTTCTCATAGACTTTTTGTACTCTTTTCTTCTATACTCTAAAAAATATTAATGCAGTGTAAGGTACCAGAAGTTTAGCTTACAGTTCTACAGACCCTTTCCATTGACATTTTCAGCCCTTTGGATACATCCCTCATTTCAAATCATCAAAACTGTCACATTTTTAAATAAAATAATTTTGATTCTTACAGATACCGAGACAATATAAAGAGAATATCTGCCATATCCAAAGATGAACCCGAGAGTTCACTGGACCGAGCTGTGTGGTGGGCAGAGTACACAATACGTCACAAGGGAACCAAACACCTGAGGTCTTCTGCGCCTGATTTGGCATGGTATCAGTATTTATTGTTAGATATTGTAGCACTTATATTTTTTGTTTTTGCAATTACAATTTGTATATTATACCTTTCCTTGAAGAATGTCTATATGTATATAACTGGAAACCCTTATAAAGTAAAATCAAAACATGATTAGACAAAATATGCCAACATATGTTAAAATGTAAAATATGTCACAGATACATGGATATTTTTTAGAAAAGATTAATTCCAAAGATCTAGCTTTGTACAGGATATGAATACACAGTTAGAAACACAATATCTGCAACATCGTGTAAAGAATAGAGACAGATTAACATTAATAATGCAGAAATATATATGCATTTTAATAATTTTACACTTAATTTTTAAGAGCTCTCTTGATGATCAGACAGACACCTATTACATGTTCTACATGATTTTCAGTATAATTAAACGGAATTTTATGAAACACTGTATCTGATGGTTCATATACTTTGCCATATACAGAGAGTTTCCGATCTTTGTTTACCTGTTCAAAGCTTTGTGCTTCATAGCGAGTGGCGCGCCGCCGCCTGCGATGTGCACACAAATTTTGCCAATCAGTCAATATGCTTGTTGGCGGATAATGTTTGAAATGAAGGAGTTACAATTCACAGATCACAGGGGGTGTTGAAATTGCTGTCCTGTGAACTGCGGATTCATCTCACTTTCGACAAGATACTGCAGGAACCATCTGAAAAAATGAACGCTGCTAGCTGGACAGCATGGTTGCAAGTCATGGATTACTGTTTCATTAAATCTAATCTTCAGGAATTACATTGCCCTTCTTGCACTGACTTGAACAATCCAGTCTCTGTGTATGTATGTTTTTGTTTCTTGTCTATTAAGAGTCCTGCGGATCTAAGTTTATTCACCAAATTGGGAACTGTTTTCATCGAAACTTTCTAGAGATCGAAAATCTTCATATGAACACTGTGTTGTTCGTTTACTCACTGCCAGTATTTCCTTAACCTTCGCCACCACCAGGTAGTGATAGTGGTCAGTATCACAATCTGCTGCCCTGAATGATGGAAACATCAAGTATACTTGAATGCCATCTCCTATTTACCAAAATATGGTCGATTTGATTGTGTCTTTTCATCAGATGTCCAAGTAAATTTATTTATGTTACGATTTTGGAACTACTGATAATAAGAAGCTGCGAATATATTGACGAAGCAGTCGCGGACAGCCGATAAGGAGTGGTCCTCCAGCTTGGAGGTTGGGCATGGGGTAAATAACTCCTCACTGCAGAAAATAAGCTTTTTACGAAAATGTTTAAAAAGTCTCGGACCTGGACAGATCCTGTCGATTCCAAAGAAATAACGGTTACCTTCAAAAACAAAAGGAGCTGGAGAACTTTGTCCGGATCTGTCGTAACAGTGTGTTCCTTCAAAACCATACAGAGATAAGATGACCTCTCAGATTCTATTTAGTCAGTAAGTGCTTCATTGTGATCTACAGAAGACAGAACGAGATTAATATTTGACACTGTGAATTTTCAGCAGACTTCCGGCTTCAAGACGCAGCCCTGCCTCCTTCATCGCCTTGCTTGTGTGCATTGCTTCGTTCAGACTACATACTCTTATGCCATAAATATAAACAAAATGTGGCCTAATTTTAATACACACTATTTTCTCTGTACAGAATGCTACAGTATTCTCCCAATCTGTTCGAATAACAAATGGGGCGAGAAGTCAGTTAGAAGGAATGGAACTCAGTCAAATACAAAACTGTTACGAATTCAGCAATTGCACATAAACTTATCCTAGCTTGCTGCTGTGATCACACTCCGAGTATGATACAAGTTACCCATAATTCAGTCACAGTGGCACTCTCTTGATTGACACATCGCGGGGTTTCTCTTGGATCTACTTGCACGGAAACTCCAACTTAATACAAGTATTATGTTTTTGGACATTATCCATTGTCTTGTCTATTTCTTCAAAAACCGTCCTGTTTCCTTTTTAAAAATAGACAAGACGAAGAATAATGTCCAAAAACCCACGGTCCCGGCTTGCGAGCGAGCGAAGACAGTGCATGCCTTAGACCGCTCGGCTACCGTGACCGGCAGGAATACGTATAGTTACTGAAATACCGATATGGATCCTTATCGGTGCAAGGCGTCGTATTAAATATTAACATAAAACTTTTCCTCGGAGCGAAATAAATGGGGACAAGTTGAACAATATAAGACTTGACACCAGCATGAATTTCAGGAATAAAAAGAGGGAATATCTGAAAGACAAAATTGAAGAACTTGCAAAAAAAACAGAAAGAACAAGAACATTAGACAATTAGAGAATAAATGACTTTAAGAAGGGTGCCAACCTAGAAGTAGATTAGTGAAAGATGGAAAGGGTGATCTGCTTGCGGGTTCACACAATATTTTGGATGGGTGAAAGAACTACGTAACTCAGATTTTGAATGTATATAGTGTCAGTAATGTTAGGCAAATAGAAATACATACAATATATATCGGGGTATATCACTATTGCTAACTTCATACAAAATTTTATTCAATATTCTATTCTCAAGGTTAAGGCCATATATAGATTAAATTACTGGGGATCATCAGTGTGCTTTTAAATGTAACAGATCAACAATAGATTAGATCTTTTGCATTCGTAAGATGCAGGAGGAAAATGGGAGTACAATGAGGCAGTACAGAAGTTATTCGTAGAATTCAAGAAAGCATAGGTTTCAGTTAGAAGGGACGTATTGTAAAACATTCTGTTATAGTTTGGGGTTCCCATGAAACTAATTAGGACGATTAAAATGTGTTTAAACAAAACGGATAGTAAAGTCCATATAGGTAAATATTTGTCTGATAATTTTCCAATCCAGGATGGTCTAAAAAAGAGATGCTTTATCGCCACTCCTTTTCAGCTTTGCTTTAAAATATGCCATTACAAATGTCCAGGAAAACCAGGTGGGACTGAAATTAAATGGGATATATCAGCTGCTGGTTTATACTGATGATGTGAATCTACTGGATGATTATTATGTACCGTAAAGAAAAACATAGAAAGTTTATTTTAAGCTAGTAAAGAGGTTGGTCTATAATTAAACACAGAGAAAACTAAGTACATGTTGCTATCTCGTCACCGGAATGCAGGACAAAATCATGAGATAAAGACAGCTAACAAATGTTTTCAAAATATGTGGTAGAATAGTTGGTTGAGGTACTATGCTACAAGCCAGGAGATCGCGGTTTAAAATCCAAATGAGGGGGATTTTTCATTTCACCCAATCCTTCCAACCGCTCTATGGTCCTGAGGTCGACACAACCTCTAACAGAAATGAGTACCAGGAATCTTTCTGGGGCAAAAGGCGGCCGGCGCATAGGACTGACAACCTTACCGCCATCTGGAGCCCGTTGTCTAGAAAAAATGAGGAAGCCTCGACGTCTCACAACCCTATGGCCTTCACGGCCTCTTACATGGATAGCTTTACAATTATGTGGTATATTTTAGTTATTGGAAACGACTATAACAAATGAAAACCTGATACAGGAGGAAATTAAGAGGAGATTGAATTCAGGTAATCATTGCTATCATTCAGTTCAACACCTTTCGTCTTCTCGTCTGATGTCTAATGACATAAAAATTAAAATATACAAAACTATAATATTGCCTGTGGTTCTGTATGCGTGTGAAACTTGGTGTGCGACATTAAGGGAGGAGCATACAGTGAGGGTGTTTGAAAACAGGGTGTTGAGGAGAACATTGGAATCGAAGAGAGATGAAGTGACGATACAATGGGGAAAACAGCATAATGAGGAGCTTCATAAATTTTAAATTTCGCAAATAGGATCAGAATGATTGAGCCCAAGGAAAATGAAATGGGCACAGCATGTAGCATTAATGGGGAGAAGAGATAGCTGGTGGGATAGCCAGAATAAAAGAGACCACTAGAAGTTCAAGGCGTAGGTGGGTGGACAATATAAAGATGAATCTTGGAGTGAGAGTATGGGATGGTTTGGTCTGGATCGATCTGGCTTAGGAGAGGGGCCAGTGGAGGGCTCTTGTGGACACGGTAATGAACCTTCGGATTCCATANGGACTTAAATTTGAGAAAGAAACTAGTGAAATGCTACATTTGGAGCATTGCTCTGTATGGGGCTGAAACATGGACACTTAGGGCAGTAGATCAGAAACACCTGGAAAGCTTCGAAATGTGGTGTTGGAGAAGGATGGAGAAGATCAGGTGGACCGATTATGTGACAAATGAAGAAGTGATATTTAGAGTCAGTGAGCAGAGGAATATCCTACACGAAATAAGAAAATGGAAGACTAATTGGATTCGTCATATCTTATGCGGTAACTGCCTTCTAAAGGAAGTTATTGAAGGAAAGAAAGAGGGGCGGATAGAAGTAACAAGAAGACAAGGAAGAAGGCATAAGAAGATGCTGGATGACCTTGGGGACAGAAGAGGATATTCTCATTTGAAGGAGAAAGCTCTAGATCGCATTAAGTGGAGGAACTGTTTTGGAAGAGACTGTGGACCTGTCGTCTTGACAGATTACTGATGAATGAATGAATATATTCATGAGGAAAGGAACGTAGCATTAGTGAAAACCTTCCCTAGCTCAACACCCTCACCCCCTTACTTAGGCACAAAATCGGCTTTCAAATTGTAATATCAATAGAAAGGTACTTTGTAAGTTGGTGGTTATAATGCAATCTGGGTTAAATAATCCGATCTCTGTAAACCTTCTCATAGACTTTTTGTTCTCTTTCTTCTATACACTCTAAAAAATATTAATGCAGTGTAAGGTACCAGAAGTTTAGCTTACACTTCTACAGACCCGTTCCATTGACATTTTCAGCCCTTTGGATACATCCCTCATTTCAAATCATCAAAACTGTCACACTTTTAAATAAAATCATTTTGATTCTTACAGATACCGAGACAATATAAAGAGAATATCTGCCATATCCAAAGATGAACCCGAGAGTTCACTGGACCGAGCTGTGTGGTGGGCAGAGTACACAATACGTCACAAGGGAACCAAACACCTGAGGTCTTCTGCGCCTGATTTGGCATGGTATCAGTATTTATTGTTAGATATTGTAGCACTTATATTTTTTGTTTTTGCAATTACAATTTGTATATTATACCTTTCCTTGAAGAATGTCTATATGTATATAACTGGAAACCCTTATAAAGTAAAATCAAAACATGATTAGACAAAATATGCCAACATATGTTAAAATGTAAAATATGTCACAGATACATGGATATTTTTTAGAAAAGATTAATTCCAAAGATCTAGCTTTGTACAGGATATGAATACACAGTTAGAAACACAATATCTGCAACATCGTGTAAAGAATAGAGACAGATTAACATTAATAATGCAGAAATATATATGCATTTTAATAATTTTACACTTAATTTTTAAGAGCTCTCTTGATGATCAGACAGACACCTA